GAGAACCGTAACCATTCCCGGGATAAAAAGTAGCCTATGTGTTCTTGCAGACTATGCTCTAAACCTGTGCCAAATTTCGTAGAGATCCGTTCAGCCGTTTAGGCTACAAACGCTAACAAACATTCATCCATCTATCCATCCATCTAAACTTTCGCATTTATAATATTAGTAAGAAGTAAGATTACACAATTTTTAAGTCATTGCTTCTAAAAATATTATGCAGTATTTGAAAGCTAAATTAAGAATAAGAGAATAATTTAAAAGTGAAATACAAAATAAGTAAAATCATAAAGACTATTTGTATTTGTTGGTGTTCAAAACTGATTCTACTGATTTTACTAGTGGACTGTATTTAAATAAAAGCTGGTTCCGGCACAAACAATATATTAAGAACTGGTAGTTACAATTTAGTTAAAAGAACAATATGAGAATTAACACTATAAAAAACTTGACTCCTTGAATAACGTCGCGTGAGAGTCGGGTCAGTCGGTCTGTGATGTAGGTTGCCTCGTCGCCCCGCAGTGCTCTATTCATATGTGAGCTTGGAGGGGCTTAGCTTTTTCGGGGGCTAAGCGCGCTCCGTCTCCATGGGCGGGGTCCCATGACAATCACACGACGTTTTTTTTCTTCCTAATGCACACCCCTCTCGCTACTTCATTCCCCGCATCGGCGCGGGGGCTTACCCATGTGTGGGGGTCTAAAACTGTCCTCTACATTCTCCCCCCGGCGTAGTCATCGAAGCCGATTCTTCTCTAGGGAGGACAGCAACCTTTCTCACCGGTCTTCTCAGCAGCCCGCCCCTAGTCTTCACCTCGACGTTCCTGACCACCCCGTCAGGCCCCGGGAATGTCCTCGTGATGATTCGCCGTGGCCACATATTTCGCGGGAGGTGGCCGTCGCCGATGACCGCCAGGTCGCCCGGTCTCGGGCTATCGCCTTCGCTCTTCCTCGATTCCCCTCTGGTTCTTAAGGTAGGCAAGTACTCGCGGATCCACCTTCGCCAGTATTCGTCCGCAAGTCCCTGCGCCGCTCTCCAGGCCCGGCGATCGGCTGGGCAACACGGTGCAGTGTTTGGAAGCGCCGCTGGCCCACCGAGCAAAAAATGGTAAGGCGTAAGCGCCTCCGCATCGTCACTGGTCACTGGAACGTGCGTCAACGGCCTGGAGTTTACAACATGCTCTGCCTCTGCCAGCAAGGTAATCAGCGTGTCTTCTTTGGGATGTTTCGCTTTAAGCGTAGCCTGCAGCGATGACTTGACTGAGCGCACAAGGCGCTCCCAGGCGCCTCCTTGGTTAGGCGCCCCTAGCGCGATGAACTTCCACTCGAAGCGACGGCTGAGCGCATAGTCCTGGAGTGCTGGCTCCCACTCCGCCATCGCACGGTGAATTTCAGTGCTCGCTCCTCGGAAATTTGTTCCGTTGTCGGAGTAGACAACGTTCGGCCATCCGCGCCGCGCCGCCATTCGTCTTAACGCCATAATCGCGGAGTCTGTCGTAAGACTATTAACTAATTCTAGATGTATTGCGCGAGTCGTTAAACAAGTAAACAACGCGACCCATCTTTTTTCACGCCGCCGGCCGATGGTGACCGTTAATGGCCCGAAATAATCAAGGCCCTTTTTTGTGAAGGGCCTTGCGTACGCGCCTAATCTTTCCGGCGGTAAATCGCCCGTTACCGCTCGCTGCGGCATTGCTTTGCGCACCCTACAATGCACACAGCTTCGTTCCACTTCGCGTACTGTCGGTCTCAGACGGGTAATGTGAAAACTCAGACGTAGATCGTTCACAACGCGTTCCCGATTAGCGTGATTCGCTTCCACATGCGCTCGAATCACTAACAACTTCGTGTACGGATGGCGTCCATCGAGGATGACAGGCCTTTTTGCGACAGCCGATACTTCTGCCGCGTCAATCCTACCTCTGGCCCTCAGTACACCGTTCTCGAGAACTGGGTCGAGCTTTCTCAATGCGCTACCGTTGTGAATATCTTTGCCTTTGCTTAAACGTTCGATTTCGTCGGAAAATGCCTCTCTTTGACTTTGCTTAATCCAGAGGTCCTCACTTTCCTTTAAGTGTCGCAGTTCCAGTCGGGCGGCCTTGCCTCGTAAACGTTCGATGAACTGCAAAACTCTAGCCGTTGCGCGAATTAATCTTTCGTGTGAAGAAAATCGTTCTATAATCGGTAGATAAGCCGCGTCGGACGTCTTCGTGACATGGTGTACGAGTACCTCGGCGTCACTTTCGACATGGTCGTCCGGTTGTTGAGGCCACTCACTCTCTTCCCTATATAGGAACTCGGGTCCCGTAAACCAAGCGTCCGTCGCTTCCTTCATACTAAGATTCGCGCGCGTGGCTTGGTCGGCTATGTTGTGGGCGGTCGGCACCCACCGCCATTGTTCCGGCGTAGTCCGTTCCGCGATCTCCCCTAACCGATGCGCAACGTACGGACTATATCGCGACGTATCGTTCCTAATCCAGTGGAGCACGGTCTGCGAATCTGTCCATAGAAGTACTTTATCCGCTTTAACTCGATGTTCGGTCTGAATCGCGTCGGCTAAACGAGCCCCTATCAAACTGGCCTGTAACTCTAAACGCGGTATGCTTTGCGTCTTAATCGGAGCTACTTTTGCTTTCGCACCCACTAGAGTAATCCTAATCGAACCGTTTTCATACCGAGTTCGCCAGTAGGCTGCCGTTGCGTACGCTCGTTCGCTTGCGTCGTTAAACACATGTAGTTGTCGTTCAACAACTCCCCCCGTAGGAGCGTAACAGCGCTGAAGACGAAGCTGTGCGGTTTCTTGTATGGCATGTAGCCACTGCTGGAAGTCTTCCGCTGAAGATGTTGGTAGTTCGTCGTCCCAGCTCACGGTTTTCATCCTCCAAAGATCTTGTAACAGGATCTTTGCCGTTATTGTTACGTAACTGAGCAGTCCTAACGGGTCGAAAATGGACATTACTGCGCTTAAAGCTTCTCGTTTAGTCGGCGGTCGATGGAGATCTTTAACTTCTTGAGGAACACGACACATCGACACGTTAAAGGACAACGCGTCTTCCTCAGATATCCATCGCAGCCCGAGAGTTTTC